TAGGTTACCAAAGCAATCATCTTTTGGACCAGTTAGATGTCTTCCTCAACACATGCTAGATGTTATTCCTTTCGATTCTCCTCACAAAAAACTCCATCTTGAGACCACGAGTTTGGTTGTGCCACCAAATCCTTCTCGTATCTCAGATGAGTAGCACTCGAAAGGAATAGATTTAGAAAGAAGAAGATTACATTTAATCGAAAAGGATCCCCTTCTAAAACAAAATCCATAAAGAGAGCCGAGATCGATAAATCCTATAAACAGGATTCACATATCAGTTTCAGATCTGACTCTAGGTCACAACATACCCCACCTTCCCACTTTCTCGATGCACCCATCAGAGTTTCGGAATGACTTGTACAGACTCATGCGGAGTCACCACATAATCTACCCCCACCCTATCAAAATGTTGGTATTGGTATTGAACAAAGTCCCTTGGAGCCTCCTGGGACACACTCACGAGTCATCTTGAACCCACCATCTTCTTCAACACAAGAACAATTTGAGGCCCCTGCCATAGTTTCTAAGCATTCCAAACTAGGAGTTGTCCCTCCAACCTCGGATGCCACAATTGAGTCGATATCCACCACGGATAAAGGACACTCAGGTCTTAACGATGGGTTTTGAGCATTCTAACACTTCCTAAGTGTACATGCAACCCTAATAAACCTTGGATCTATGTTTGTCTAAATACATGCAAAATTTGGTTTCCAAGGTTCATAATCCTATCTAGCATACATGGGGAACTTTTATCTTAAAAGGATGTCTAGAATTACATACCTTGTAGTTGATTTTGATTCCTTGAAACCTTGAGAGCCTATCACCCCAAGTGTGATGCCTCAAATGCTTCACACAACACCAAATGCTTTTGGACTGACTTTTTGAGAGAATACACACTATAAAAATTAGCCTAGCCCTCTTCTTTCTTAGTGTAACCGATTTTGGTGGATAGTGTGTCCCTTATATAGTGTGACACATCTAGGGTTACACCATGTAAACCCTAATGTGTCATGACTCTTCATTTCCATGACCCATGGGTTTGTAACTCCCATGGAGCATCCTATGGGTTTAACCCAACTTGATAATCCATGGAGCCTCTTAGCCCACTATACAAGTTATGGATGATTTACATAATCAACCCATATATTTAATTAGTTATCTTTTGATCACTTAATTAATTCTAAATTAATTCTTGAGCAAACTAATTAAATAATACTATTAGTATATTAGAACTTATAATATATTAATAAACCACACGTGTTATTTCTCTCATTTAGTCTATCCAATTGCATGGTGTCATGCAACCCAAATGGACCATGCCGGGTCGGGTCAAGTACATACCAAAAATAGTTATGGACTTAGACACCTTATCCAACACTTAACTCTAACGATAGTAATAAATTCTTGATAGGGCCCGGCTTCGTCATCTAGATCTTACAAGGGATCAAGTAGAGTACACTCTTCTCTAAATGAGAACTCGAGCACTTCGCAACAAACTCACGATGACACTACCGATTGATTCCGAAGGTGATGCTCTTTTACCATCCTTTAGCAAATTTAGCTAAACTAACTCTAATTGATGAAGAACCTCTTATCAACAACTCTCCTCCTGGAAATGAAACTAAGATCGTTTTTGAAGATAATAACGCCTTTGTTGCTGCTCTTCCCACTCAAATTCATTTCCCTTCCAGGTTCCCTACCCATCCAAATTCCTACATGACCACAAACTGTCGTCTTCCTCGGAAGATATAAATATTGAAGATCAGGTTGGGATCAAGAAAATCAAGCTCAAGGTGTTGATGCTTCTTAAGATTCTGAAGATGTTAATGTCAACAGAAATTCTAATAATTCTTCCTACGATATTGGATCCACAGATGAAAACATTGTTGATCTGTTCGCACTCATGGAACTCTGAGACAACGTAGACACAGTCAATTCCAAGTTCGACATTGTCACTTCTAAAGTCACATCACTTAACACTAAACTCGATTTGGTGATCAAATCTCCTTCTGAAATCAAAGTAGCTTCTCCCTCAGAAAATAACAGAGCCAATCAGTTGGATCAACTCATTTCTCTTTGATTGAGTCATACCTTGGAAGAAGCTGAAGAACGATACAAAGATAATCTTGATCATCACATCTCCATCATCAATACAATGCTCGAGATTCATGATGACATGATATCTACTACAAATGAACTCATCAAGCATACTCATGTTCGTCATGAAAAAAATTCAAAGATTGGAGAAAGATATCAAACATAAGGATGGTTTCAACATGCTCATGTAAGAAGTTCTCATCAAATTCATTCGCTTTGCTCAAAATTTTGTAGACACTCCCAATCACAAATTCGATGAAATTCTCCTATACATGGAAAAAACTGTTGACACTCCTAGGTCTCTGTAGATTTCAATATCATCAATTATCAAAATTAGGTTATGAATGAAAAAAAAACTCAAATATTTCTTGAGAATGGAGTACCATATTTGGGCAACCACAATATTTCCTTCCGAGATTCTTCTTAGTGGTTGAACTCTTTATGATTATCATGTTTTCATAATCGCACGTGACCATATTTTCTTGTGTTGGGTGCAGAAAAAGAAGAATAAAAAAGGAGATGAAGAAAATGAAATGAAGAAACATAGAAAAAGAAGGAAGGATATGAACAGGTCAAATAGACGAATAAGGGCATGGACTGGTCAAATGGTCAGGTGGTCAGTGTTTTAGACAAGGAATGTAACAACGTGAATTTTCATAATAATTTTTCATTTTTCAAATAACATAAAACTCATTCAATATTCTCAAATCTCATGTTTAACAAATGTCATCATGATAAAAACATATCCCAAGATCATAAAATAAATCTCCTGCCATTGTGTACGGATCATGCCGGCGCCTTCCCGCAATCATCGCCAGTACCTGAAACACATAACACATAATATTGTAAGCATAAATGCTTAGTGAGTTCCCCAAAATACCACATACAACACATACACCACTTAAGGCCATAACTCTATGGGACCTTTCAGTTAATGTTTCGCAGGGGACTTCCGCCCCAACTTTGGTAGACCTTCCGGCTCTACCCGTATCACCTTCCGGTCCTCATCATCTTGACCTTCCGATCCATACACTGTTGACCTTCCGGTCCATATCATGGTACCCATAACATAGCATAACACATACATATCATAAAGCAACACATATCACATACTTCACATAGCATATAAGACCTTCCGATCACACATGGTTACCACTCTAGGTAAAGTATAGTGACAAGACTCACCTCGTATACTGTCTAGTAACTCACTTGCTTGGTATCCCTGATCCTCGTAGCAAAGATCTAGCCCCGCCTAAACACGTAAGCAATCATCTCAAATCAATAACGGCTCTCTAGGCTGGACTAGTCCGTTCCAATGTTCTCTCAGAAGGCTAAAAGACCATTTTACCCTTCTAATGGTCCAAAAGTCCAAGTGTTGATCCAACCCTAAAAGTCAACGAAAGTAAACTGTAGTCAATGGTCAAACTTTAACCAGACTCGTCGAGTGCACATAGGTGACTCGGTGAGTCCAAGCGTGTCCTATGGATTTTTCTAAACCTCACTCGACTCGTCGAGTGAACCTTCCACTCGACGGCTACTACTGGTCACGAGTCGCAGGGAAACCCGACTCGACTCGTCGAGTCACCATATGGACTCGGCGAGTTTCTTCCATGACAATCACCCAAACAACCTTCTGAGGTCAGATTTGCTTCTCTAACCTATAGATCTAACTTCCTCATATCCAATAATCACGTAAAGGTCAAATCATGACACTCATGCAACGCACCCAAGGCTTCTTTTGGTGAAATGGCTTCTGAAATGGCATCCTAGGTTCATTTCCTCCATGGAACAATATATAGCAGGATAGATAATGCTCTCTGGACCTCTAAAGGTCCAGATCCAGAGTCTAACACTCAAAGGGACAACATATGCATCAATTCAAGCCAATAAAGGGGTAGAGAAAACCCTAGATTCAAGGATCTTGTACAAAACAGAAGAAGGGATCGATTTACTACCTCAATAAAAAGGATCAAAATAGCTCTCTCTCTCACACAACTCTCTCAAGCTCTCAAGGGTTTCTCTCTCTGGATTGGTAGTCGCAAATGAGGGCTATAAGGTCCCTTAAATAGGGCACAAACCTGGAGATTTAGGGTTTCTGACCTCAACGCGGACTCGTCGAGTCCATCCATCGACTCGTCGAGTCCGTTCATTAATCCAGTCAGCAAATTGCGAACCTACTCGACGAGTCTAAGCGTCAACTCGTCGAGTCCCTCCTCATAACTCAAAATAAACAATTAAAATATGGTACATGGAAATCCGAATGTTACAAGGAAGTCATCGACTGACCCCTTCAGTTTTTATAATTTATTCGATCCGACAAAACTAATTTTGTTTCCTTAAAAGATACAAAAATAACATAGAACACTAAATAAATAAATATGTAAAACGTTGTAGGGTACAATATCATTTACTAATCTTCTATAATTTTACTGTTACGAGCTTTTTAATATATTTTAACATTACCTCGTATACTAACATGTATGTTCGTCTGTCTATGCTCTGTTTAGTTTAATTTTATATACGATAAAATCAATACGTATCTATTAATTAACTGTTGGAATACAATACACCACTAATGGCAAAATCGCATCTGAATGACGTATTCGACTATTAGTAGTGGAGTAGTGGTAGGTGAACTCAACAACATGCACGCATTATTTAGCTAATAAATCTAATATAATATAATAAATTGAGATTTGAATAAGATTAAAAACCAATAAAACATACAAGTTTGTTTACATATATTTCAGAAATTTGGAATTATTAACCATCACTTGTACTCAACTTGGCTTGATGACTATCCACCATATTTACTCAAACATTGCCTATTTTTTATTTCCAAAAAATAGGCAATTTTAATTTAAAACTAAACATACGAAAAAAAAAATGACGTCATAAATAAATCATTGAGAAGAAGGGGACCAAGGGGTCATGTCCATGGGATAGCTACCCAACACCCTGAGGAATGATGTAAATTCCTGAACCTCGGCCAATGCATTCTGTGCCCTAACGTCCGCCATTGAAGCTTCAAAATCCACGTAGAACAAGTACTCGAAGTGTTTCGCCGTTCCTACGTTCTCGTCGCCGACGAGCCTGATCGGACGGTTGCGATGTGGACGGCTTTCGATTTTGGTTAAGTTGATATTCCGGAATGCGAACGCCGATAGAACTTTGAACAACACCGACGTTCCTTTGTCGTGAGCGAATACAATGCTTGTCTTGAACGGGATGTCGACTCGTGGTATGATTGGCTCACGAGCAAGCATGACGAATCGTGTGACGTTGCTTGAATCGTCCTGGATCCCATCGGCCAAGATATTAAGGCCGTACAGCTCGGCGGCGCGTGCAGATGCGATTGCCGCTGTGTCACGGAGGTTGTTTGCCGCCACGAATTCTGCTGCTCCTGCAGTATCGTCGACAGCCTCGCGGGTGACGGTTAAGCCGAGTTTGGTGAGAGTTAGCTCGCACTGAGAAAGAGCTTGCGGATGGCTAATCACGCGGTTGAGGTATTCTTTCCGGACGCCTGGTAAAGCTAGAAGGCAGTGGTGAACAGGGAGCTGGACTTCTCCGACGATGTGGAGACGATGGCGCAAAAGTAGATCGTAATTCCGATGTATGCTCCCGCCTAGAGAGTTTTCAACCGGCAAAACAGCGCGATCTGCAATCCAAAGCTCAACCGCTTGAAATGCAACCTCGAATTGATCACAAGGAATGGCCTCACAATTCGGATAAGCTTTACCGGCGGCAGCTTCACTGTACGCACCAGCTACACCTTGATACGCAACGCGCAGCGTCGAACCGTGCAACGGCGCCGGTGATAGATCGGCGATGGTGAGCGGTTTCGGTAACCTATCAATCGGAACTAGATCTAAACTAGTATGCCCGTTGACAACAGTTATATTATCAGCACCGTTGGATTTCTCGGTGTTCTGCTGCTGCGACACCACCTTGCTAGCCAAAATCGCACACGAGCTCTGCCAATCGGTTCTGCTCTTAACAACCCCTCCATATGCGAAGTTGTTGGTGGTGGTCGGCGCTGCTGCTGACAGGGGAAGATTAGTAGCGTTGGCTGCCCCGGCATCATACCTGCTTGCAACACATTGAACGGTGAGTTGAGTTGGTTGAACGATTCGGTGGGAAACCGTGTGTAATGACTTGAACCCAATACTCGATGAAGGAGCAACACACTGCATATTTGATATTTCTCCCTTAAATTTGTTTTTCAGATCAAGAATGAATGGAATTACGAAGAAAACTAATGAAATGACTAAAAGCTATGAAAAAGAACAAGATGTTATGGAAGCTTGTTGTTGGCCAAGCTGAGATGAAAAGAGTGCAAGGAAGCTGTTTTTATATCGTGGTGGAGGGGGCGATGGCTTCTGAGTGGTTGGGTCAAGCTCACACCTACCACCCTCCTTCCTTCCTGTAAGTGTTTATTTGACTTTTTAGATCGCTTTGCTCTTACTTTTCAATTTCATATCATTTTAAAACTAATTTCATGGCTTTCACAGACCTTGCAAATAAAAATTATGTTGATAAGGTAACTTTCAACGAACGTGATGGGAAATTCAAAAGTATTTGTTTTTTTCATAGTTAACTAAGTCAAGAAAATACTATATTGTCGCTTTACTATCTCACTTTACAAAATATAAAAAGATATTTTATTATAAAACATGTCACAATGAAACAATTGTCTTAAAATCGCTCTCTGAATAATACAATATCTTTTACAAAGAGATATTTTTATATCTTGTAAAGAAAAGCAATTATATTAAAATATTAAAAGAAAATGGGTTTTGCATCAAATTTTAAAGTAGATATTTGGTAAAATGTGAACTGAAAATGACCATTCGGCATTGGGTTTGATAGTCATTAGGTGAATCAATATTATTTTGAAACAAAAATATCGGTAGTTTCGTATATATAAAACTATTTTTTTTTTCTTTTAAAGAGAAATATGTTTTAACGCGTAAATATATTCAGCATATAAAAGTACTAACAATCTTAATGCATATATTTTTAGTTTATATATATTTAATTAATGGGTATTTATTTATTTATTTATCTATATTTATCCGTTTAATTTGTTTAACTGTACACATTTAATCATTATGATCGGTTGTTTTAGATAAGTCGAAAAAATAACTTAAAAAGGTAATATATTTTTTATTTTGTATACATTTAATCTTTAATATTTTTTTACACATTTAGTCATAATTTTTTTTTATTGAAGCATAAGTTGTTTTGGTATACATTCAGTACTTCTGATCGATTTTTTTAGGTTTTCTCACAACACCCTACACAGGACAATCAATAATAAGATATTCGAGAATGTTCATGCTTATGGTCATCGCTGCCTCAGCTGCTTGTTTGCTTAGTTCTTGTGGTATGGCTTAGGTTTTGTGTTCTGAACGTCAATTTTTTTTAGACAATCACAATTTTGAACGATTTTTACATCCATGCATTCGTATTTTAGTCTACTACAACTTTCATTTATATTACTTCTGTTAAAAATTAATATATTTTTACTTATTATTTTTATATATTGCGTTCTTTATGAATGTGTGTATGAATGTTTTTTTTATAAAATCGTAAATATATTGTTTTTAACGGGAATAATCTAAACAAAAATTGTAGTAGACTCAAATACAAACATGTAAATATAATGATTGTTAAAATCCACTATCATATGAAGAAGTTATGACATTCAGAACAGAATACCTAAGTCGAACCATAAAAACTAAGCAACCAAACAATCGAGGTCATGGTGACCATGAGCATGAACAACCTAAAAACTTTATTAATGATTGTCCCGCATAATATATTGTGAGAAAACCCTAAAAGTCGGTCATAAGTATTAAATGTGTACAAAAACAGCACACACTTATTTTGGAACAAAAAAATATTAAGGACTAAATGTGAAGAAAAAAAAACAATAAAGACTAAATGTGTACAAAATGAGAAATATATTACTTTTTTAAGTTATTTTTTCCGGTTTACTTGAAGTAGTCGGTCATAAAAACTAAATTTATACAGTTAAACAAGTTGAACGAGTAAATATAACCGGAAAAAAAAAAAAAAACCTTAATGACCTAATAGGGATATCTCCAGAAAAGTCCCGATATTTTAGAAATTTTTTTAATAAAGTCCTAAAAAAAAATTTCAATAAAAAACCCCGATTTTTTCACCTTTTGAATACAAAAGTCCAATAAAGCGGCTATTTTATTCACTTTAGTTCTTTTTGACCTGTTCAGCAGGTAATGAGACCAAATTGTTAATTTTTCGAAAATAAAGGGACTTTTTTGCAGACTTCGTCAAAATTTTTATATAATGTATAAACATATTTTTTACATATCTATATCTATTTTTACGTATTTTTGTATTTTTTTTATATTTTTATAAGTATATATTTACATATTTTTATGTATTTTAAATGTACAAACGTATTTTTTTACTTATTTATATGTATTTTTAACCATTTTACATATTTTTTTTTATATTTTTTTATGTGTTATTTTTTTTTTATATTATGTATTTTTATATATTTTTATGTATTTATGTATTTTTAAAACTTTTTATATAGATCTTTATGTATATTAAGTGTATAAACGTATTTTTTACATATTTATATCTATTTTTAAGTATTTTACATATCTTTTATGTATTATGTATTTATATATTTTTTTAAAGTTTTTATATAGATGTTTTTGTATATTTATGTATTTTAAATGTATAAACGTATTGTTTTACTTTTTTATATGTATTTTTTCAGTACTTTACATTTTTTTTTTGTATTTTTATGTATTATGTATTTAAACGTATCAACGTGTTTTTTTACGTATTTACATCTATTTTTAAGTATTTTACATATTTTTTATGTATTACGTATTTATGTATTCCTCTAAGTGTTTTATATAGATGTTTTTGTATATTTATGTATTTTAAATATATAGATGTATTGTTTTAAGTATTTATATGTATTTTTTTAAACTATTTTATATATAATTTTTGTTTTTTTATGTATTATGTATTTATATGTATTTTTACGTATTTATGTATTCTTTTAATTTTCTTATATAGATGTTTATGTATTTTTATGTATATTAAATGTTTAATTGTATTATTTTTACGTGTTTATATATTTTTACGTAAAAATAATACACTTTAACATTTAATGTACATAAAAATACATAAATATCTATATAAGAAAACTAAAAAAAATACATAAATACGCAAAAATATATATAAATACATAATACATAAAAAACACATAAAAATACACAAAAAAAAATATGTAAAGTACTTAAAAAATACATATAAATACGTAAAACAATACGTTTATACATTTAAAATACATAAATATACAAAACCATCTATATAAAAAACATTAAAAAAATATATAAATACATACTACATAAAAGATATGTAAAATACTTAAAAATAGATATAAATACGTAAAAAATATGTTTATACACTTAATATACATAAACATCTATATAAAAGCTTTAAAAATACATAAATACGTAAAAATATATAAAAATACATATAAATACATAATATATAAAAAATAACACATAAAAGTACATACAAAAATATGTAAAATGGTTAAAAATACATATAAATAAGTAAAAAAAAATACGTTTATACATTTAAAATACATAAAAATACGTAAATATATACTTATAAAAATATAAAAAATACAAAAATACGTATATATATATATATATATATATATATATATATATATATGTGTGTGTAAAAAAATATGTTTATAAATTATATAAAAATTTTGACGAAATCTGCAAAAAAGTCTTTTTATTTTCGAAAAATAACAATTTGGTCCCATGACCTGCTGAACAGGTAAAAAAGAACTAAAGTGAATAAATTAACCGGTTTCTTAAGCTTTTTTATTTAAAATGTGAAAAAGTCAGAATTTTTTTATTCAAAAAATAAAATTTAGGATTTTATTAAAAATTTGCCTAAAATATCGGGACTTTTCCGGAGATATCCTGACCTAATATGTACAAAGTATAAAAATAGTTTGAAGTACTATTTACCAAAACAATCTGGATTTTTACTATATTTTGCAATTTTATAAATAAATATACCTCCTCCATTAATTCGAGGTTTAATATAAAAAATTCATTTAAACAATTAGAACCGTGTCCGAACATCTAAATTTTCCTTCATTAAAAACTACTGGAATCTTATAATCGACGAAACCATTACAATAACTTTGCCATAAATATGAATATTGTCTATTTTAAAATAATAAAAAATAAAACAGTTGTATATATTGAGTCTTCAATGCTGAATTAGTGAATGATATTTCATTTTTGAGACCTGAAATTTATCATTGAAAAATTCAAACTAATTTGCGGTATCCCTTCTTCATTTTACAAAACCCATATGAACGATTCTTGAGAAAGTTGTAACTTTCATTTTGAAAATTACTTATTTTTAAGATTGTCACAAAAATTAATTAATTAAATTAGTTTGTTACATATGAGTTCTCAATTAAGTATTTATTTAAGATATATAATTAAGTACAAAAATATAAAACTAAAAAATTGGTGATTATCATAGAAAATATATTTTAATATTTATCAATCACACACTAATTGAGTCAAGAGGACATGATGGAAAACATTAGACAAGAGCATGTTAAAGCTAAAACGGATATATTTAGGCCGCAAAATTTAGGACATGATTAATGTTTTATCATATTAGGTTAGATTACAGATTACTATCGTGAAAAAAACTGTTGCCAAATAGGTCCTAAACCAATGGTCCAAATACTAAACCAAAACTTCTGGTTCGTAATTGACGACAAACTTATTAAAAAAAACGCGGAGTCCATATATAGGAATACTATGGTTTCGATTGTATAAAAGAGGAAATATATAAACGCCTACTTTAACTGAAATGGAGAATAAAACTAAATATATTAAAGCTTGTATTCAAAACAAAACTTCCTCGGAACCTAATAAGAAACCTAAAGAGATATATTAAAAGAGTTTTAACTGAAATAGAAACTAAAACCAAATATATAAAGGCCTACCTTCAACAATTATTTGTACAAAACCAGATACATTGATGACCTGTTACTGATATAGCCACATAAAAAATATATATAAGCTACCAAGACAATTTTGTACACTTGTAGGCATGTTCACACAAAAAAATAATAATA